TCTGTTCAGGTCTTTTGGTTCTGGTCAGATCTTTTGGTTCTGTTCAGATCTTTTGGTTCTGGTCAGATATTTTGGTTCTGTTCAGGTCTTTTGGTTCTGGTCAGTTCTTTTGGTTCTGGTCAGATCTTTTGGTTCTGTTCTTACAGATGTTTTTATTTGGACTTTAGTTTCCTGAGTTTGTCTGATGAAACTGAACATGGCCGCTCTCGGTCTGTCCTCCCGTCGGGCGCTGTCAGTTAATCTTCGGTGGGTCTGAGTGAACAGAGGCTTTGCTTCCTGAACGTCCACCAGGCGAGGGGCGGAGCTCCTACACAACGTCCCATCTTGCTTCTGTGTCTGCGGCCCGGCTTCCCCTGGAGGCCTCCTGGCAGCGCGTCACTCAGAGACGAGGAGGAGGAGGAGACAGACTTTCAGAGCGAGCTGAAGGATGACGATTTAATTACATTTGTGTCCATTCATCTGTCCATCCACACACACACACTCAGGGACGTTCACACACTCTGAAAACTCCAGAAACACAAACTCTGTCCCTGCAGGTTCCCACAGCACACGAACCGCCGCCTCTTTGAATGGAGACGGCTGGCTGGTCGTCATGGTGACCGGCAACAACTAAAGATGTCCTGCAGGTCAAAGCAGACATGTCTATACTCGGCTGTGACGTCCTGTCTGATCATCAGGACTCCAGCACATCAGTGAAGGGGCCCCACAGACCTCAGGGGCCCCCTAGAGTGTCAGGGCCCCTGCTGTAGACTTTGTGGTGGACAGTTGAGCAGTCTGATGATCAGCTGGAGCAGAACCTGCCTCCAAGCAGACAGGTCTTCTGATTTAAATACTCCTCGTCGTTCTGTTTATTCTGAAGAAAATGAAGCCTGATACACGGAACAATTTTATTTCTCAACTGAACGTTGTGGTTTAATGAAACCCACCTGAGTAAACGGAGAAGTTGGTGTTGGTGATTATTTCCAGCTCAGGTAGAGCAGACTTTTACTTTCAGCCGGACTTCTTCACCCAGAACCTTCTCAGGTTCTGCAGTCACGCTGCAGCTCAGCGTTTATCGGTTCGATCCGTGATGGAAGAATTACTTTGTGATTTGGACTCAGCCGCCCGCTGCTCATCACCTTCCTTCATGGTTCCTGTCTCTGGGCTTTTACCACCCTGGACCAGTTCTACACGTGGCTTGTGAAAGATGGACCAGAACCACCTATCGGTGGGGCACTGAGGGGGGTCCGTTTGTGTTCTGATGGTGGCTCGGAGCTGTCAGTCCGATCTGAGAGAAGGATGACCTCGAGGTGTGGAGAGGGAACAACTGTCTGCTGAGAACAGAGCAATCCCAGATGTTTCACTGAAAGTCCAGTAAGCTGGACCAAACAGTGGAAAAGCAGAATTTATCTATTTCTATCATCTAAATTTATTCTAACAAAATTATAATCTATCTGAACAAAGACATCTAAAAAAATTAACCGAAGCAGGCGATGAAAAGCACAATTTAAAACCTGCATTAAGTTCTGATGGAGATGGACATGTTTGTGACTGTGGAATAATAAAAATCTAACTTCTTCTTTCTGTTCCCCTCCAGCTGTTTAGCTGATGTGTTAGTTTTATGGTTGTGTGTCGAACCCCCAAGACCAGGACAGACGCTGCCCAAAGGTCAGGACCGATGTCAGAGGCCAGGACAACTTGAACCAGTGGACTGAGGAACACCTTAGACTCATAAATCCTCTCTGGTCTCAGGGACATGTTGGATGACGCTTCTCAGTACCATCCAACAATCCCTAATCAAGATTATGTGAGAAAAAAAATCACTGCAATGCCACTTTGATTGTTGATATGTGCTGCTGATCTCATGCTGCTGATTTATTTCCTGCTGCTGTGTTCATTCATACTCATCTTCTCACACAGACTCATGTTCATGCTGCTGTTGTTCGGACTCGGAGTATTGTTTTGCACTAAGGTTTAGCGTATTTCTTATTTTAATGTATTTCTTAGTTTATATCTTAGTACTGTGTTTCGTTTACAGTTTATATTTTTGCTGTTGTTGGATGTAACTGGGATCCTACACAATTTCGTTCGACCTCATGTACATGTGATGCGAATGACAAATAAAGAACCTTGAATTTGAACTTGAACAACCCCCCACCCCCAATCTCAGGACAGGCGCCACCCAGGTACACCCAGTACTCCCAGTACAGTCAGGCAGTTTAATGACGCCATGGGGTCATTAATACTGGTTTTCATTAATTAATCTGAACCAAACAGAACTGTGCGAAAAACTAAAATACAAAGGATTTACAAAGTTCTAAATTACTACAAAAAAAATTTTTTCAATAGAAAAATATCAAGACCTTTTGTTGTAATGGTTATATTAATCTCGATCTGATTTCTTATCGTAAGCGTTGGTGGTATAGTGGTTAGCATAGCTGCCTTCCAAGCAGTTGACCCGGGTTCGATTCCCGGCCAACGCAAGTTTTTTTCTTTATTCCTGTTTTAAAAGATATTTGATAATGGGAAGTCTTATTTTAAGAGAAAGTGTTTTTTCCAAGTTTATCAGAGGTCTTATTTTCAAATAAACCCTGTTAATATGATCTAACTAAAACTTTTTTTTTTTACAACTTAAAAGCAAATCGTTTTCTATCCACAGGGAAGTTAGATTTTTTTTTTCAGTTGACAATAATAAATAATGTAGGGTTCGCATAGATTCACGTTTAGAGTTGAGTAGAAACATGATAAATTTGGGATTAACTTGGTTGAATGAAAAAAAAGAGTTTACAAGAACCGGTGCGCTGCCAGGTACTGCCTGCAGGGGGCGCTGGAGCTCGATGCCTGAGTCCAGTTACTGTAACTCGATTTTGTTATTGATAGAAGTAGCACTGTGATCCAACCCGGTAAGGACAGAGACGATAAAAACAGGAAGGCATGAAATAAAAATTAAAACACGTGAAATCTTTCTACAGAGTCATATTTTAGCAAAAACAACAACTTGACAACCGGAACCGAGAACACTCGTTCAGCACTGAGAGGAAGGATATCTCAGATGTACCGGAAGCAGCGGCAGCTAACCGGAAGTGGCTCTGTGGTTGTGTGCAAGTTGAAGATTCAGCGCGGTCTCCTTGTTAGCTTCCTTTTGTATGTGTTTGCGGTCCCTGGACGGTCCCTGGACCCGCCTGGACCCTGTGCCCGAGCTGCCGGCTCTCCCCGCGGGCTGCGTCACGCCATGGCGGCCGGAGGCGCCGCTCCTCCGCAGCTCGGAGATGTGGAAGAAGACGCTTCCCAGCTGCTGTTTCCCAAAGGTAACGACACGGACCCACCAACAGCTCTGACCTCAAACCTGATCCGGTTCTGAGATGGTCCACATGTGGTGTCTCGACCTGCTTGACGAGTATCCCTCCATTTGTCCTGGAACACTTAAACTTAGTGTAAACGGTTAACTGTGAATATATTTTACTTTTTTTTTTTAAATAACTATAGTTTCATAATTCAATTTTATAAACAATAATATAAATCTGTTTTAGGCCTATTTATTACAAAAAGTAGCTTTAATTAATTTAAGTATTTGTCTTACCTGTGATCAAGCAGACCATTACATCACCTGTCGGTAAACTTTTATTTTCTGTTGTTTTTTGTTTGAAATCACAAATTTCTTAAACTCCATCAGACTGAGCCCAGTTTCCTCCTCACTGAAGAAACTGCAGAACCAGAATCTTCTTCTGAATGATTTGACTATTCGGATCATTTATGCTGTACTTCCTGTTTGTCACGGACCCTGTTCTGGTTCTAATGGACCCTGTTCTGGTTCTAATGGATCCTGTTCTGGTTCCACAGAGTTTGAGAGTGCCGGCTCTGCTGAACTCAGAGGTCCACATGTTGCTGGTTCTAACGGACCTGTTGTTGGTTTCAACAGGCCCTGATCTGGTTCTGACTCACCTTGTAACGGGCCCTATTCTGGTTCTAACACGTCTTGTTCTGGTTCCACAGAGTTTGAGAGCGCAGAGACTCTGCTGAACTCGGAGGTCCACATGTTGTTGGAACACAGGAAGCAGCAGAACGAGAGCGCCGAGGACGAGCAGGAACTGTCTGAGGTCTTCATGAAGACCCTCAACTACACGGCCCGGTTCAGCCGCTTCAAGAACCGAGAGACCATCACAGCTGTCCGCAGGTGAACCACTATGGTCCCGTTCTGGTTCTGTCTGTTTATTTCTGGTTCTGATCTGGTTCTGTCTGTCCCAGTCTCCTCCTGCAGAAGAAACTCCATAAGTTTGAACTGGCCAGTTTGGCCAACCTGTGTCCTGAAGCAGCTGAGGAGGCCAAGGCCCTGATCCCCAGGTGAGTCCACCTGCGTGAGCAGGGTCACCTGGTCCAACAGAACCACCTGTCTCTGGTCCAACAGAACCACCTGTC